TTTTCTCACAGACCTGTCTGTCTCCCCATTTGTGTCTCCTTATCTAGTTTTTGAAAAGGCTCACTTATATAATTCACCATTTAACTTGCCCCTAATCTCACTATTAAACTTTGGTTATTATGATTCACAAAGACTGTCCCAAAGGGAGTAAAAGTTTTAGAACAGAGATATATAGATTGAAAACTGAAAAGGCTATTGGAAAAATTGAATATGGAATTTATTTTTGTACACTATCTATACTTTTTAAGCTGTAAATAGCAATAATAATTATTGTTAATGAAAATTAACCAAGCATTTTATAATTTGTTGTGAATTAACTACACCAGTGTCAAAATTAATCTTTTTCATTGTATTTTGCAAAAAGGTTGTTGAAAATTGTTCTAGTATTGATCATTTCCTCAAAATTGTAGTCTAAGCTGCATAAATCAAATAGGAAATCATCATATTATAATTATATCTTTGGTTATTTAAAGAAATGGTGGTCATTGATAAAGTAATTTATTGTTTAGTTGTTGAAAAACACAAAGAAGGGCTATCATTGAACAAAATTGCAAAAACATGTCCTCTCTCTCTCTCTCTGTCCATTAATTTTATAAATCCAGAAACTATGACACTACCACTACTGTGCATATAAGTTCAATAAAGATGCCTTTTAGAAAACTGTAGACTTAACTCAATACTATTTAAACTTTTCCAACTGTCTATTTTGAGTTATGTAGTCTACCAAGCCAATGCAGATCATTTATTCTTTAAATGTTTGAATTTGTATTTTATATTCTGCACCATGACTGGTCTACAATTAATTTTTTTTTTGCTGCTATGTCTCAAATGTCATTTTAGGCAGGCTCAATTGCAGTAGGATCATTTTTCCTTGGTGTTTGATAGGTCATCTATCTTACAGAAAAAAACTATTCCTAATCATAAATTTCATTTGTAATTGAAAATATTAGAATTTATACACATTTTTGACCTTAGAACCTATATCCATGATATTCTTAATTAACCATTTTAGTACATAATTTTTCAATATATACAATTCTTGAACAAAGCAAAGGGTCGATATTTCTAAAGTATCATAAAATAATGACTTATAAATAATTTTATGCGAGTTGTAATCAAGATTTCATGAGAACTTGTCAGCTGTTTTGTTTGACAGTAAAAAAATCAACATCAATATCAACATCAATATACATGATAGAGAAAGAATAAGTGCATGAATTATTTCTATGCCATTTTATTTAAGAACATTTGCAGTAAAAGATACATCAATTAAAAGTAGTTACTCTGAATAACAATAGTCCAGTGATGGATGATTTCCATAATGGAGGTTTATGCTATCCAAATCCGTATTAATAATCACATAGCCTCTGATGAAAGCTCTGCAGGATGGACACTCAGGTTTTTGAAGACTCAATAGACATTGTGTACAAGCCAGCAGATGGCCACAAGGTAAAATCAGAGAATTAGCTAAAATATTACAACACAATTTACACTCCAAAATAGTCAAAACTTCATAAAAAGTTTGTTTGTTTGACAAAACAACTGATTCATTTGTATTTCTGAAATTAAATTATTTCAAAATTTGAAAAAGTGAAAAAAAATAAAATTAATTATTAATTAATTTATTAATTTTAGTTAAATACTTGTCTACTTCTTTAACTTTTGCTGCTTTCTCTTGAAGGTCAATAGTTCATTCATTGAGGCATTTCGGTGGGCTATCAACTCTGCCATGTTTGTAATTTGTTGTATTGCAATTTCACCTCAAAGCAACTAGTTACAAAACTAAGCTAACAACTGTTCAATTATTAATGGCATATATACTTTCCTCTAAATTAAACAATTTAGAACTTTATAGTTTCAGTTTCAGTTTCAGTTTCATTTTTCACCAAAAATGGATTTAATTTGGAAGATTTTCATCTTTTGGATAGTAATAATTGAGCACAAATATAAAAATTGACTATCTTCAAAGAAAATCCTCAAAAAATTTTCTCTAAATGATAGAACATTTTAATTGTTATTGAGATAAAAAAAGTTCAGTTTGCTGTCAAATCTATATAACTTGTATAATTCAGCGCATCTGTCTTCTGTCTAAACACCTCCTGCTAGAATTCATAGAATGTATATAAGGAAACCATAGACCCAAACATCCCAAAGAATTATTTTATATCAGACATAAAGAATCTCATGGCAGTATTCCAGTTTTTCCACCTGGAAATATGTTAGGTATAAATAATGATTAATTTTTCTAAGATAACCTCAGAGTTGTTGTTAAAATGATTTTGAATGATCACAAATCATTCCTATACTTTTACCCTAAATCACCCTAATCTCTCCTTAACCTTTTTCATCACCCATAACCCTTAGACTAGACTCTCCTAAGTGCATTTTATTTGCTATCTTGTTCTTTGTTACCAGTTTTCAATTGAAGTTTTCTGCAAAAAAATTGGTGACATTACTTAAAAATCACTTATTTTTGAAAGTGTTAGAGTTTGAAGGAAATACTTTAATAGAATCTAAAGACTATGAATTTTGTACTTTGTTGTATTGTAATTGAGGAATTTCTGGTTTGTCACAACTGTAATTGTCCTTTCCAATCATTTACCACTTGCCAAAGTACTCCAAATAGAACCTTTAAAGTTCGTCCACAAATAGTCTAACAAAGGCAATTTTGGTAGAAATTAATTAACAAAACACCAGTATTTCGTGCAAAGAATATGTATTGAGTAAAATGAGCTTCTAGTTCTAAACAAGCTAGTTTAAACAACTAGCTGATGGTTAGAAAACTGAACTATCAACTGTTAATTTCGTAGGGTTTATATACTCTTTTAAGGGTTGATAGTTCACAAATTTCAATGTTCACAAAAACAAAAGTAACATTTGAAGACAAAGAAAAGTTGTAAATATGGTCACGTTTTTATTGTTTTCCTCTTCTAAATAATAGTTGAATTTCTCAGGTTGGAGAGTTGCATAAGATGTAACAATTTTAGTAGGACAAGTCCAACAATCAAGAAAACATGTAGATTGTATATTTGACCGTTTTTATATTCTACCTTAATAATGATATTGAATTGATTGAGTTAGTAAATTTAGCATCAGCATATGCAGAGGAAGTATATCTGATTAATGCATGTTAAAAAGAACAGTATTGTGTATACAATACTGTTGAATAGTGAATATAATCTAAACTTAGAATTTAAGCATAATTGATAATTAATTGAACTAGTTTTAGTTCGAAATCATAAATGTATGGATTAATAAATTGTAATATTAATGCTAGGTTGCAAATAGCAAATATTCTTTATATAATTCAATAGGTTTTATTGCTGCATAATGTGTATGCACTGCCCTATGTGAAACTAGGTCACTACTGCTTATCTTTATCAGTGCTATCTGTATAGTACAATACTGGTTCAATACTACTTCTCTATTGTAGAATATAGCTGACGAATGTATGTGTACAAATTTATAAAATATATCTTCAAACTGGATTCTCTAGAAAGACTAAAATTACCAAAAATAGATTTTTTTGATAATAAATTAGACTTGAATGATAAATAAATTAAGTTGAAATTGAAATCTGTAGCATGTTCAAATAATGATCATAGTAATAATTTATTATCAATCAATCACAATACAAGGATTGAAAAAATCAATTCTCTTTTTTCAAATTTACTTCAAAACTGGAATATTTTAAATTGTAAATTTTTAAATTTTTTTCTATTGTATCTTTTTCTAACAGTCCCGTTTACAAAAATCCTTGTAAGTTGCTATTTCTAGTTTGTCTTCATTCATTCATTGTTTTGTTATTAAATATTTTAATTTCTACTTTATTATGAACTTTTGTTCTTGGAAATCTTTTAAATAGCCTGAAGTACATGAAATGGAGTCCAGGGCTGGGTTAGGATACAACCACAAAACTGTGGGCAATTTCAAAAATTTTTAAATATATATAGTGTGCAACTTTTGTGTTATTTTACATCTTGATCTATATTACTCTATCCAACTCATCTGATTATCTAACCTAAATATGAAAACACACCAAGACTTCATCCCCCAATTATATTTCAATGAGTCATCCTAGAGGTTTAACTATTTGGAAAAGGTGTGGCAAAGCTATTTTTCAATTAGTCCATCAACCAACCAACCAAACTTTATCCCTGCTCATGGAAAATGAATTACACAACTAATCTAAAAGTTAATGAGAAATAGAAACTGCAAAGTATGGCCAATAGAATATGTATTGAGTAAATGAGTTCAAACAACAAAGCTAGAATTAAGAGAAAAGATTCATACTCTATACTTTCTTCAGAAAATAATAAGTATATTTTGATATTGCCTTCACTTCATTACTGTTTATATAAGCAATATTTACTTCTGAGAAATCATAGAATCGAATCAATTTCTTTTTATAGTTATAGAAAACAGCAGAAATAAGCCTATACACTTCCTGCTTGTCAGGAAACAAAGGATCATCATTAAAAGAAATCTTATAGTTTTTACCTATAATGTAATAACCCAAATTATTGTGATAATCCACTCTATTGGTGAAAACATTAAATACTATAGATTGTGAATTCAAATCTCTGAGACAATAGAGATTGTTAAACTGTGTGTTGTCAATTTTTATATAACAGGCTAAATAAGTTTTATTTAGGAATGAAGTAGCATTTTCAATAAATTCCCTAGTGAATATCTCTATATTGAGTTGCTGTACAATAAAATTTCTCTCCTCCAGGTTTGGTATATCATAAGAGAGAAATCTAAAATCTTTACTCTGAAGGGAGAGTAATTTTGTTATTTTATATTTTCCCATTTTATCACAGGATTGAATATGAAATCCAATTGGAAAATGATTACTAAACGTTATGGTGTAATCAACAAATCCGTCCAACTTGAAATATTTAATTAGTTCTCCTTTTAAAAAAAGCCTTTTAACAAATCCAAAAAAAAGTCATTAATAATTAAAAAAGAATCTTTGAAAGTATTTTTTTAAGTGTAACTCACCTGTCGTACTCTTTGTTTTTTCCCTTATTTGTTCCAACTTTTGGAGTACATTGTATAATATTTGTGGTTTCTAACATATTGTCCAAGAGGGCTCTATCCTCTGCAGAACAGTAACTTGCTGACCAGTTTAAATCTCCACCAATAATAAAATCTGTATCATTCTGGTAAATTTAAAAATATAAAATTTTCAGAATATTTACAAGAAATTTCTACACAAAAAAAATTCTCTCTGTAAGAATTGAATTTTTAGTTAACCTCTGTTTCCTCTAATTCTTCAGGAATTTTTAAAAGTTTAGATAATTCTCCAAAAGTTGGGATATTTTCCTTTAGCCTCCTTATCTGGACGACTATGCAAAGGAATAAATGTGAATTTATCAACTTGACAATATTTTGTTTGAAAAGTAGCAATTAATGGTGGTCTAGAAAATTTTTCTTTTTCCTTATCCTCATATTCTTTACATTTAGAACAAACAAGGTATTTTGTATTATAGAGAAGGAAATATCTTTCACAATTGTGGTATTCCTTGCCAAATAATGCGTAATATGGAGATTCTCCATTTGATACTAATTCTGTATTTATAGACCTCAAAATCTCGGAAAAATTTGGAAGTTTCTTTTTGTCTTTTGCTACTTCTTGTAAGAGAAGGAGATCAAAACTTTTAACTGTCTGTTATCAATTTTACAGTTTGTAAATAAAACAAAAAAAGCACTTAATTTTAAAATTATAATTAATTATACTTTTTTAAATTGATTTTTAACTTCCTCATTTTCACCCTTATGAGATAAATTATTTAAAATTAACTACTTTGAGAAAATGTTGAATTTATATATTAACCAAATCTTTTTTTTGTATGTTGAATGCTCCAATTCTTAAAGAATGAATTCTATCATGTTTAACTTTGAATTTAATAACCACAGAACATTTTTTAAAATTTTCAACATTATTCAATGGAATTTCTTTTATTGAAAACAAGAAAAATTAATCAATTTTGAAATATTGAATGTTTCAACTCACTGTAAATACTACAGTTTTCTTCGTACTTAAAAACACAGGTTTCACGAACAAATTGAACAGAACACAATATTTCTGGTTGAAATATCTTTAAAGTAAATTTTCCCTCTCCATTATGGGTTTCATGCCATTTTGAAAATAATTTTAAAGAGCTTTTTCTGTTTACATCCTACCAGTTTTAACAAAAAGAAAGTAATTGTAAAATTGTTTTTTTTTTAAATTATTTTCAATAGTTACATATTTAGCATCATGATAGAAAAATATTCCATTTGGAACATTTTCATCCATGAAATTAAAATCCCCATCCAAAGTAAAATCTAAAAAGAAGAAATTTTTTTCTCTGTGAAATAAATCAAAAGTGGAAAAGTTTACTTTGAAATTCCTGGTGAAGAAGGTATTTAATGTCTAAAACAATTTTGTGAGAATTTGGATCTATTGCCATTTCTATCTAAATAAAAAATGCTTAATAGAGTTGACAAGCAGCAATGGTCAAATAAGAATGTTGTAGACAACAATAAAATTTTCAATCAATAATTAGAAATTATAGTAGCTTATTAATTGAAACTGTACCTGGGTGAAAATGTACCCAAGTGAAGCTGTACCCAGGTGAAATTGTACCACTTTTTTAGTAAAACTGTACCCATGAAATTCTAGATGTTTAATTGGTAATATTAAAGAAAATAATACTAAATAAACATTTAATAATAAAAGAGAAAAAATATGAAAAAATTGAGAATAAAAAAAAAGAAAACTATTGAGCATAAACATAAAATGTTTGAACTAATAATTCATTAGCCATTAGCCATCCAAGTTTATAATTTTTTTAAATTTCAAAAAAATTTATTTAAATTAACTGACATGTGAGTTTTTACTATATGAACATTAATGATTTGCAATAATCTATATTAAAACTCTAAATGTTGACTATGAAAGAGTTCAAGTAAGAAAATAGTTATTTTTTTATTCTTATTATTTTATCTTTTGTTTCTGATTTCAGGAATTCAGAAATATATTCAAATGAATATTGTCAATTAAAAGAGACTTTGGAGTGTAAAATATGCTATAATAACATGGCTAATACTTTGTTTCTACCTTGTTGTCATTTACTAAGCTGTATAGACTGTACAATGAAACTTTCAAGATTAGAATGCCCATACTGTAAGAATATGATTCGAGGATATGTCATTACAAAAAGTGATACTGATATATTGAACTTGAATTCTTCAAGTGAGAAATAAACAGGAATATATGAAGTTGATGCCAGACTAGACTATAGCATTTGTAGGGTTTGGATAGTTTTCATTCTAGACTAAATTTAACTTTTTTGGGGTCGGGTGTGAACGTACCTGGGTGCGAACGTACCCGGGTGCGAACGTACCCTGGGCGGGTGCGAACGTACCCTGGGCGGGTGCGAACGTACCTGGGTACGTTCGCACCCTATTTTTATATTTATTTTATTTTTGAATTTTTGAATAAACATGTACATTGACACCCTTTTTTCCTTCTGTTCCTTCATTATATATTTGTTAATATATTGATTTGATAGAATGCAGATATTAAATAGAATACATATCCCATCAATATTAAATTACTACTTTAAAAGAAAATGTTGTTGAAAGTGAAATAGCAGCCATTTTAATAGTGATAGTTTTATTAAATAAACTTTCACTTGGAATATTTATCCTTGCAAAAGTAAAGCTATATTTACTGAATAAATTTGGACAAAGTTCTTCTTGGAAGCTTCAACAGAAGTGAGTATTTATATCTAATCATTGAGATTGTTGATTCATGATATTTTGATGTAATATACTATCTTCAATTGTGAAAAAGCTGAATATTTTTCATAAATAAAATTTCAGCCATTTTGAATATTTGGAAAGGAAATTTATTGATAACTGGAAATATTTTTAGATAACCATCTACATTTGATTGAAGATTAAAAAATGGCTTTCAAATGTCACAATTGTCATTCAACAATTTATGGAAGGCAAAAATATTTGAAATGCAGCCTTTGTAAGAATCTTATTCATAGGAAATGCACAGGTATGTAACTCTTTAATCAGCTTTCATGTAATTATATTTTTTAACATATTCTTATAGAAACACATAACATACCAATTTGCAAACCTTGTAACAAAAGAAAATGTACTGTCATGCTCAAGAAGTTAACTAATCTGGAAATTCATCAATTCAAAGTAAATTCTGAAGAAAGCTTTATTGATGAAAGAAATAAGATTGCTGCAGTTGAGGAATCAATATTGGAGGATGAAAATCATGTTCTTTCAGAATGCCAATCAATGGACCTAGACTCTTTGGAGGAAGTTGAAGAGAATGCTGAAGAATATTGTGAATCATCCACAAAAAGTGATTTTGAGATTGTAAAAGGAGGAAGTAGAAAGGGACATGACATTTTACTGAATGATGGATATTCTTTTGTTGTTAAACATAAAACACCATCAAGTACTATTTGGGTGTGCAGTGTGAGAAGTAAGAAGAAAAGATGTGTGGCCAGAATAAGACAAAATGGAAATTTATTTCTCAAAGGCAATTTGGAACATAATCACAACAGAAAAAAGAATTTAGAAGTGGATATTAAAGTGAAAACAGATTTGAAAATTGTTTGCAGAAGTGATAATCAAACATCTGGAAGAAGCATTGCTGAAAAAGTTCTTCTATCCTATGAACCCAATGCAACTTGTCTTCCTGATATCAACTATTTGAAGAGAATGGCAAACTCAAATAGACAAAAGTTTAGGCCAGTGGAACCTAAAGTGTACAACTTTAATTTAGATGAAACATTTTTGCCTGATGAATTTTTGCAGAAAGATATTTGTGAAAATGGAGAAAGAATTTTAATCTTTGCAACAAACCATCAGCTGAATTTATTATCAAAATCCAACTGTTGTCTATTGTCTATTAGGACCAATAATGATTGTGAAGGATGGCATCAAAGAATGAATAGTAAGCTGCCTGCTAAAGGTTCTTTTTACATGCTGGTTGATGAGCTAAAAAAAGAGTCTGAGTTGATTGCAGTTTATGAGAAATTACTGTCAGAAAAAAGGATTTACAAACATCAAAAGAAAAAGTATATTGACATCCAAAAGAAAATTTTTGATTTATGGGATGATTTCAAGTTGAACAAATTGACATCAATTGATCTATTAATGCAGACATCCCATATCTACTCTCCAGCATAAATATCATTTGTCAAGCTTTATTGTTTTTTAGTATAATATTTAGTCTTTTAAATACATACTTTTAGATTTATAGCTAAATCTTTTATTCAAAAATTCAAAAATAAAATAAATATAAAAATAGGGTGCGAACGTACCCAGGTACGTTCGCACCCGCCCAGGGTACGTTCGCACCCGGGTACGTTCACACCCAGGTACGTTCGCACCCCAACTCGAAATAGTCAAATTACTGGTGTTTTGTTGATCGAATTTCTACAATATTACATTAATTGAGATGATTTTGTGTAGGAATGCAAAATGGTTCTATTTGCTTGAGTACTTTGTGATTTGGTAAATGATCGGAAAGGACAATTACAACGATGATTAGTAACAGGATGTTATTTTCACATTGAAAATGTCTGTTAAATATCACATAAAAAGGTTTTAATGTAGATTCATCTACTGTGTTGTTTAAATGATATAAGACAATCTATAAATCAAAATGGTCTATTCATGATTGAATGTACAGTCTATAAATTTTCTAATATTTTATGTAGAAACTTGATTAGACCTATTATTTTTTAAAACGCCTATAAACCATTTGATAACAGCCACAATTGATTTTGATTGACAGAATAAGATATGTGATAAACAAAATGAGAATAGAAACTTCAATATCTTTAATTTCAGTTTTATTTTATTGTTTAAATATTTATTTATGGGTCAGAGAAAAGTTGTCCCCTTCTTGGGAAAACTTGTCCCTTTTTTTGGGAAAAGTTGTCTCCTTTTTGTAACAGCAAGTTTTATCATTACTAAAAGAAATAAGAAAAAGTATATAAAATATATATACTGTAAAATGAGAAACTCTTTTTTGTAGTTACATTACTTAGCAAACTAAAGCTCAGTTTTTGAAAAAACTGGTAGATATCAAACTCTGCATTACCAGGTGTTAGGAAAGTAGTCCCTTACTTCCTGTTTACAGGATTTGAAAGTGTAAAGGTAAAATTTAATATTTTTATATTTGCTTAGCCTTTTAAGGACATAATCCTGTGAGTATAATTTTAATGTTAAAAAAATGTTTATTTCTTATATAGGTTATTACATTTGTTTTCCAGTGAAATCTTAAATTCAAAGATGGCTTCACTTTGTCCTAATTGTGACATTTGATTTTATGGCAGACAAAAGAAGATAAGACACCAAAAGTGTCTCAAAGTAGGTGTCTTTTCATAAATATATCTATATTTATATTTATATTTAATAAGCTCTTTTTTAAAGATCCAACTCCTCACATTTGCAATCTTTGTGAACCATTCCCCAAAGGGGCTGACAGAAAATGTCCACAAATGAAAAATTTCAAGACAAAAATTTGGATTGAGAAATGGTTAGGCAGAAGAAAACAGCAACTGATTTGTACTTAGGAGGGTCTCCTTTAGGGTTACAGGTAATGGAAAAGGTTAGGTACAGCTAAGGGCTGGGTTAGGATTAGGGTAAAATCACTCATTTGTGGACATTTTCTGTCACATCCTTCCCCAAAATGACATTGAAATGCTTATATTGCAATCATACATGTATAGGTAATTATTCAATTGATTTTAAGATATTTTATTTATTTCTTTAATTAAAGTAGAAATGAGTGAAGACTTGCTAGAATCTTGCAATATCATCACCAAGAAAACATGTTTTATTAGACTAAAGAGATTGGATGGAAATGTCAATTTAGATGCCACAAATAATGGTAATGTTTCTGAAATCAAAAAGTGGAAGGTGATACAACTATTGTAAATAGCATGGATTGTAATAATTTTATAGAGGACTCATTTGAAATGAATGAAGAAGAAAAAGCAGATCAAAATGAATCCAGTTTACATAACTACCTGAATTATTTTTGTATTATCTTTGATAAATGTCATAATTCTCTCTTTTTTAGGGCTCAACAGCAAAACAGACACAAATGAGTATATTCAAGACTAGCCTTGGCTTGTAAACAACTAAGGAGGAGAGATGTAGTAACTGATTTCTAGTTAGGAAGGTTTCATCTAAGGGTTAGGTATAATGGGAAAGGCTAGGTATAGGAAAAGGCTGAGTTAAGGTTAGGACAAAATTATTGTCTTGTGGACATTTTTTGTTGCATCCTTATTTTTATTGTTATCCTATATCTAATTGTAAGAGTATAGTGGTATCGTTTACTATCTGTAAATTCAGGTTTTCGCTTAAAATTCTAAAGAGAAAAATATGATATAAATATATTACAATTTCAGGACATTTTGCCG